GCATCCACGCCCCTATAGGTATAAAATTCAAAATAAGATTTCAAAGGAAGTAAAAGGAAAAACAAACAGTCGCATGGGTTTCTCTAGTTTGTTAGAGCGAGATGAGTGCGGTTCGTCGACTCCGCCCGTATAGTTAATATGACTTATGGCGTATGTTTACCGCGCGAATTAGCCATTTGGCGCGAACGTAGGGCGACGCCCGTCAGACGTGCGAGTGTAATCGAATGGGTGATATGCCTTTAATTAGAACGATATTCACTATGAAACTAATATTTATGTATTTATATATAGATAGGTAATTTTCCTTAATACGTTAAAAGTATATAAAAAGTAAAATATGTTTAATAATTTACTTAATATAACTTTTTCTAAGGTATGATAAATATTACAGGTTTATTATTTATGCATTGGGAACACCTAGGACAGTATAAACAAAATCTAGTTCCAAGTTCCAACAATGTCAAAATAAAAACAAACAATTCGCAGTAGCTCCCAGTAGCGCCATCTTGAGTCGGATAGCTAAAACTATGATCGTGATACACAACTTGCAACATAATACGTAGATAGGTATTTTATAAAAACAATAATATTGCCCTTTACATACATGTTCTTTTACAGTTAAAATACAAATATTTCAACATATGAAATATCCATTATAACTGAATGGTACTTCGATTACAACAATTTTTAAAAGAATTTACTCTTTTAATTGCTCGTTTAACACGTGATAGTGGATATCATAGAAACGTCACGAATCGTAAATTGTTTCTAGATTCCGTTTAACATAACGTCTATATTACAAAGACGACTAACAATTATTTTTTAATCTGTGTAACGCTTAACAATTATTTTATTAACTGTTTCCGTGTCGAAACAAAAGCGCGCCGACCTCTGGCGCCATCTCTGATTTGTTAAACGAACCTTCACCATTAGGGACGGACTATAAATTTAATTGTCGTATATCGATACAAAACCGATATCGATATAACGACGATTATAATCTTTACAACGTTATTTACTTAAAAATGCCTCTTATACATATTTTTTATAGGTACATCCAAAAAGTATATAATATATATACATATATTTCAAAAAAGCACTGCTATTTAAATAATCAAAACTATAATTGAGATCTACCTATAGAAAATCGTTTAAGTCGGCTCTTATTATTCACTATTATCAGTCGAATGTCGATTACACTTAATCGACAAGCAAAATCATCGACAGACCACCGGGCATCCTTATTTACATATTAATTTGTTGTCCAGCCGTAAAATAAAGAAATTGGACGGACGAATAAAAGATCCGTAATTAAGGCAGGCTCACGGTACAACTATAATTTTATTTTAATGTTATCGCTTTTGAAATGAACTCGTCTTAGTAGTACCGCTTCGTTAGCTTAAAATATAATGCTTCTTTAGCTTTTGTCGAATTCACGACGGTGGCGTGTGATATTTTTTATCAGTAGGTATACATAACAGTGCCTTACAGCTAATAGTGTACCTAAGTATATTTGTGTTTAAATTGTGCATCTCAGCAGAACCTTCCTTGGAAGTAAGATTTCGTTACTCTACCGAATTATGCGATATCGTATCATTTTTAAGAACTCTCAATTATTTTAAATAAATTAACAAGGCGATTAAAGTAATATTCGTAATATTCGTCTTAACCATGAAAAAAACCTTCGATTAAAGGAATTCATTACAAAATATTTTCATACAAAATAAATTAACATTTGTGCGAGCAAAAGGCATTTTCCGCACATTAAACGAAAACCGAGCGCTCTTTTAATTGTTTTATGAAAAAAGTCGCCGCCGAAACTCAATCTTCTACATTAAATCTGAACGGAAGCCCGCCTCATCAAGTGATTTAATCGAATTAAAAGCAATTTCAACTAATACGAGTTGGGGGAAGCAATAAGTCAATAAAATTTATTTGCTTCATGGCTCGGTCCCACAGTGCAGAGTTGAGAAAGAACACAGTGCGTTTGAAAGTTTAATTTGAGATATTGCACTTCATTTCACTACAGTTTGTGAATACTCTTATACTGATTTAAAAATGTTAATATATGTACGTAAAAACTTATTATTTTTCATCGAGAACTCATTTTAAAATATATTCCTCTATTGTTCAATATGCCTTTTCTATGAAAATGAAAGTGATAGCCTCAACAAGCTTCGATCATTACCAAGTTATTTATGTGCAGTGTCTTTTAAAATTTTTATTTCCAAATACCATTCTTATAGCGTAATGCGGCAAATGGAGAGTTTTAATAAACAATGACCGTTAATGTATGTTTTTGCGATGCTGTCCGCCTTCGTTCAGTCGAGAACATTATTTATACAGGAATCGAAACAATAGACATAGTAACGTGTATCATAGTCGGCTTTAATGAACTCTTAAAGGAGAGAATTACTAGTAAGACCAGTACTAGAATTAAATAGATGTAATAGTAAAACAAAACCTTGAATATTGATTTATAAGGGGAACACTGCGCGCATCTCGCTAAGAATTTTAATGTTTATTTAGCATACAAATACATTATTATTGCAATACAAAACATCTATGACGGTACAACAATGGATGCACATATCTAGATTATGGCTGCGTGGAATCTTTTAAATACTAAATATCTGAGTGACTTACCGCCTCCTTGGTGCGAACGAGTCGGTGCATTCCTTTATCTACTTAGCTTATACATTATTTATCAACTGAATTTATAATCTGTACGTACATTGTGTCGTCTGTGCTTCCTAAGATATTATTAACATCTGTCAAACGAAGGTTTTAAATGAATAACTTATAATTTTTTTTCAATAAGTATTTTTTATATGAATGGATCTTTAAAAGTTACAAAATAAAGAAACAAAACAACACATAAGTACTATAATATTTATAAGAAAAAACAGTTTTTTTTTAATTTTACGATGATATTATATATTTCATTCAATTTAGACACATTCATGACAAAACAAACTAACATACATTTTATTATTCATCATAAATTAAAATGTCAACGTCAAACATCTTCACAAAGTTTTTCATAAGTGTGTTATTTAAAAAAAACGAATTTACTAGATAATTGTAACATCTAATTTAGCAATTTTTTTTATGTATCGGTTCTCATAGAAAATTTAAACATCTATAGACGCGCTGTGACACCGCTTATTATCATCCAAGGTTGAGGGGCACGTAATATCCCATAATTTGGTAACCGCGAGGGGTCAGTAATATCTATTATTTATTTCACTTTTAAAAGTCTTCCGTAAACTTGTTGTAGAAGTTTTTAAAGAGTAAAATCTTATAAATTGAGGAAAAAGTAAAAATATTAAGGGCTATTTTCAACCGACTTCTAAAAAGATGAGGTACGGTTTCAAATAAATAGTTTATACCTACCTGAAGGATAAGTTTTATAGTAAAAAATATCCTCGTATTTTCTTACAATATTTAGATATCTTCAATAAGATCATAAAGAATCAGAAAGAACTAGGTAGTGAATTTAGATAATAAAGTAAGCACAGATATTAATTTACAAAAATAAAATTAAAACTATACCATACCATTAGTTGAAAAATCGATTTATCAATAACACATATAATTTATTAAGAAAAAAATGTTACGCAGACGCAAAAACATGCTATTAGCAATACTAAAGTTTCATGAACAAAAAACTAAGTTAGGTACATTTATTATAGAAGACACTAGGGATTGAATTGCCTTAAACACTACCTTTGCAAGATCGCGATCACCTCATGTTTCATTCAGAGACAAAGCAATAATGACCAGTAACGGCACAGAAACTTAAGTGTCGCCATACTTTATACGACTTCAGTTATTATTGATGACGCTAACTAAACTACCTCTTCGTGGCCTTATTAGATAATAACACGCTTGATACAGTAGTTATAAAAAGTTTTTATATCAAAGTTATCGAGTATCCGGAGCTTTTATTGACCGACTAAAAAGGAATAGGTACTTAGTTCGAATGTATGTTTTTTTGTATATGTTACGCAAACTATAGGTACATACTCGAATAAAAGAAATCTGTAGATTAAATATTTTTTGGAAAATCGTATTAAAATAGTTATTATTATGATAGGTACAGGTGTCGAATCTTTTTTACAATTTTTGTCTGTACACAATATAAAGGATACTTTTTACTGCGGGAAAATATCTCGTCTCTGAGCTAAAGGTTAACGTTAAAATATTACTAGTTATTAGCCAGCGTTAGCCATATGAATTAAATTATTTATTTCGTGATTTTTTCTGATGTTCCAATAGTTATGCTATTCGGGGTGGAGACAAATCCAACAAATCAAAAACCATGAAAATCGGTCCAGCATTTCTCGAGTTATAAGTGTTGTAACAAACCCGACTTTGTTTTATATACCTACGAGTAGATAACAGTTAAAATAAAGACACAAAACAACACATGCAAAGATGAAGTTACGATATTTACTTATAATAAAATTTATTATTTACAACTAAACAAACCAATACATATTATTGTTATTAAATTATTATTGTTTCATAAATTAAAATGTCAACGTCCAAACATGTTCAGAAACATTTTCATTTATTATATTTATAAAAAGGCAGTGGTAGCCCAGTAAAAAGGCAGTGGTAGCCCAGTGGTAACGCGCTCGCTTGAGAAACCGAGTGAAGCGGGTACAAATCCCGGGTCTCGCACCTCTGATATTTTCATGTGCGAATCATTTCTAACATTATTACCACTTGCATTACGGTGAAGTAAAACATCGTGAGAAAACCTGCATGTCTGAGAGAACTTAGCAAGTTTTCGAAAGACATGTGAAGTCCGCCAACCCACACTTGGCCAGCGTGGTGGACCCTGGCCTGATTCCCCTCGTACTGAAGGGAGGCCCGTGCCCAGCAGTGGGACGATAAAAAGGGCTGAATACAATATTAGTATTATTAGTATATCAAATCAAACCGAGAGTATTTAGATCAAGTTCCTAAGCTGTCTAAAGTGTGTTACGCAGACGATCCTGAACTCGATGCACAAGTACCAGCCCCGGTTTCATCTGGTGCGTGCCAACGACATCCTCAAGCTGCCATACTCCACCTTCAGAACCTATGTCTTCAAGGAGACGGAGTTCATCGCAGTCACTGCATACCAGAACGAAAAAGTAAGTCTTTTATTGTTCTACTACTAATGCCTAAGTAACTTCTCTAACGAAATATTATTCTATGGAAACTGGTAGATGACTCATGAGCTGTGTTATGTGAAAATCATGTCGATCTGGTAATGAATTAAAGAGAAGATTAGACGATAATTTAGCATGAATATGTAAGAAGAGTAGCCTTACTAACACCTTAATAGACTAATGGCCGATTTCACCAACGTCACCTAAGTTTAAGGGATCCCCTAAGCATGGTTAGGAGGCTGTTAGGGGACAGTTTCTGTTTCACCAACAGTTAGGGGTCACCTAAATGTTAAAATGCCGCCTAAATATAGGTACTAGAGATACTGGCTCGGACGATGGTAAAACGAAATTTAATTTAGGGGCTAGCTTAGGGGAACTTTTAAGCTAGGGATCCCATACGTAGGTGGTAGCTTATGGGATGTTGGTGAAATCGGGCATAAGAATAAGTAAGTTTTTATCTTCTTAGCAGCATGTTTTGTCTGAGCCCTACTGAACCGAATATTTATTTTTATCATTAAATATCGACTAATATTCGAACTCTCGGCTTCCAATAGTGTTAAAGGACCACCCCGTTTGGAATTTTGCATAGTATGTACCACGACGGTTGTCAAAATACTTAAAACTAAATACAAAATATTTTTAATGTCTGCGACTACCACTCAAAATGGGCGTTAAATTTCATCAAAATATCTCCAGACGTTTTGTAGTCTACAGGGAACATACATACACACATCGATTTTTATATTTCTACATATATACTTATAGATTTTTATCAGCTTATCAATTGAGCCAGCTGTAAACTCTTATATAATCTTTGTTCTAAAGCACATATGATAATAAATGAATTGTTTTCAGATAACACAACTGAAAATTGATAATAACCCCTTCGCAAAAGGCTTCCGGGATACGGGAGCGGGGAAACGAGAAAAGAAGTAAGTATTTACACCTATATTGCACCTTTTGTAGTTGTAAATTTTTGATATTTACCTAAGTTTTATATAAATATTTGTTTATCATAATATATTTGTGCAATCTTATATTTTAATCGATATATTCTAAGTAATTTATCGTAATTTATCATATTTAAGTACTTTTATTAGAATAACAGTTACCAATTAGATTTTAAAATTTATTAACACTGATATAATATTTGAAGCCTTTCAAATACCATAATTTGTTGATTCTATTTTTTCTTTCGAGACATTCAACGGCAATTCGTTATATAATAGATTATAGAAGCCTGAGTCATTCAGAAGTTGTGTAATCGCGAGTGAAGCCGCGGACCAAAATATAGCTTTTCGAAAGTATTGCCAATATACATAATATAAACAAATCATGTATAAAAAGTTCAGTCATAGGTACTGTCTGTCCGTCATATATGAGTATAAGTGTTAATACTAAATCGCACAATTAATTGAAAATGATTCAACCTTCGCAAATAGAAATCGTTCACTTATGATTTTTAGGAAACTACAGTTTGTCTATTATGAAACTATATCCACATATATAGTAAATTAATTTCACGTATTTACATATAATTGTAGTTACCTTGTGTTATTACTTAAATATGGTAATTGAATGTTCTTTTATCACACTATTAGCACTATTTGTTACGTATTTTATTTACATTTTACTTTGTATTTACCACTAGCATTGGCCGCGTCTCCGCCCGCGTTCAGATGACCAAAAACCAAATTCTTAGGTTTTACATATTAGTATACTCTTATTGCAGTTTTTCTATTTTATCTCAGAAATGAGACATTTTCCCGCGGTAAAAAGTATTCTATATGTTGACCCAGCTATCACCATACCAAATTTCATCAAAATCCCTCCAAGGTTTTTCTGTGACGCGGTAACAGACAGACAGACAGAACAAAATCTTATATTTTGCACAATGTATTGCATTAACGTTGCGAGTTGAATCCACAATTGTTTTTACTTAGACCTTTTTGAATCAAATATGTAGATGATAGAAACAATTATGAAAATCAAAATTGCGATCTTTGTCAGGTATATCAGACACATCCGACATGTCCCATAACATAACATTGGTCGACTTTACATCAGTGGACATATATTAGGTTATCAGTAAAATGTTTTAACAAAATATTACTTTTAAAATGTTATAGAGAATACTAGACTGTATTTTTAACTAATTGTAAATATAAAGCAATCTAAGCAAGTGTTATCTGAAAAGAAAAAACTTCAGAGTAGGTGGCAAACGTAAATACCCGAAAGGCGTAAGATAAATCACAGCAAAAACAGTTCTGTTTAACAAAACTTAACAGCAAATGAAATTAGCTATCTGTGAATCTCTAAATTAATTAGGACGAGTTTCCGAACGCACTCGACGCCATTCCAAATTCAAATTAAACCAATCTGGCGCCTCCTTATTCGTGTTCCACGTTCAAACATGGCGGGTAACGGCTCAAAATGGTGGAGTCATACGACTTGGCGCTTTTTCCAACGTCTTTAGCGTGCAAGGGAGAAAATTGGATTTCCGCGATAAAATCAGCTTTAGTTTTTTTCGCCGTATAATTTGATAGCGGGGATAGCTTGTGATTCCGCTAACTTATTTGAAATTCAAAGAGAACTCAATTAGTGGACAGCCAATGCAAGGAATTATGTCTACGGGTAAGGGCCCGTTTGAATCGACAGCTTCGTATTTTGATATGCGGCATTGCTTCCCCGTATATAATTAACACAACCCAAAGCACTTAGTAGAACGAGACGTATATTTTATTGCTTAAATTCCATGACCATATTCGTCTCTCTGAATGGATACCTTGGTACTTTTAAATTTAAACAATAACGGATATAATAACGATTATATACTTCTAACTCAGAAGTAATTAAAAAAATTCATCTACTTAAATGTTTTTCACACCTTGCACTTCTCTCTAACTTTGTTAATTGAACTAACATTATGATAACCCAAGAATATAAGGGAGCAACACGCGAAGAACTTGGTAAATTAAACCATCACAGGGGCCTATTATTTGTTCAGATTATCTGATTAAAACACTGTTTGAAAGTAACACTAACATAATATGTTTATTTTACCCTTATTCTTCGTTCTTATTTAACTTAATCTATATATGTTCAAAGTATTAGAAAATAAAATACTATTAGTCGACTCGCACGTTTATACTCAAACTACTAAAGCTGTCCTATTTAAAAGAATGTATTAAGAATGAATAATGGTTACAATTCTATTTGAAGTTATACTTTTGTTTACTATAATCTTTATTTACAAAGGCATATATTATTATGCCTAAGACATTAATTGGTAATTTTTCGTTCCAAGGCCCATTTTCATTGTATAACGTATAAATATATTTTAGGACAGCTTTAGAAAAACAACCAAATTTAGCACCGTGAAAGGCCAACTTTTGTCCGTTACGGAAGTCACATTAGTGTTTAAAGGGAGGCAGGAAGGCATCTTTAATTCGCTTACACAACATTTTGCACCGGAACCGTCGCAGCATCCGAATTACAGGGCGTATGCCGGACGCTCATCTTTTCAAAATGGCCGCTGAGCGGAAATGTTGGAAACGTGAACGTTTTGACAAATATTTTGTGAAAGCCCGAGAACGCTACACAAGTGCTATAGAAATAGATCTTACATTTTATGGTACAAACCACAGCCTTACAGACTCATATTAAAAAGAAGAGTTTGCCTCTTAGTAAATTTTAAATTATAACAAAAACGGACCGTAATCGTTGTTCTATCCATCAACATGTATAAAATAAAGTACTAAATTGTAAGAGCAGCATAAATTTGGCTTAAAATTATCCATAAATATAATCTAAAAAAATATAGGTACAAATATCGTAATTTTAAACACACGCCATTTTCCCATTTATTGTAGCAACACACTGCATAATCGTCCTTTATGTTTGCAGCATTCTTGTGCAAAGGTCAGCTTTGATGCGCACTAATCGACCACTCGGTTAATTAGTGCTAGCAATTCAGTTTGTTATACACGCGTTTTGACACGTTAAATGTCACGCACGAGGGGCAGAGTGTATCTTTATTGTCTCTTTATTTAAACACTTTTTAAATAACTTGGAGACTACTTGGTTTAAACTATACGCACGCGAAATAATAGGCAGGTATAACATATAATGATGTATATTGTAAAGTGTAGTGTATAGTGTAGTATCATGAACGAATTAAAATTCGTTCATGTGTAGTATGTATAGCTTTTATCAATTTTATTATAAATAGAACGAAATATTATTAAGACCGAATTGAATTGCACCTTTGAGAAGAGAAAGCTTTAAAATCAAAATCACATCGTAACATTAAAACAATTCACACAATCATAAAACAGTATTTGACAAGCCTCTGTCTTCCGAGAGTATTCAATAAAAGAGGGGTTACAAACTGCACCGTTTTTTGGGGATAAAAATTTGGTAAAATTACAAGGCAAGCCACCCCAGTAGAGTTTACATTGTAACGTGAACACCCTAATGCGCGGTTTAATTTAGGGTTGACAAAAACAATTCGATAATTGTGAGAATCTCTAACTTAATTATAATCAATAAACATAAAGTTAAATAACTCTTGATTTTGTTAGCTGCCATAATAATACAATAAGGATCACTATATATGAAACTAGATATTGCAATTAATATTTTTTTTTATAATTATGCTTCCTGGAATACATTTTTAAAGATATACTTTATTTCTTTTGCTTATGAAGGCTTCAGTAGTATTTCGTTAAAATTCTTTTATAAATTATCACGATAAATAACATTTCATAAAGTCATGCGAAATGCACATAGCCTATTAATTGCTTCACATTCGGATAGTACAAAAATATTTCCATACATAATACTATAATGATCCTGGCTACGTGTAAAAAATCACATTACATAAAAAAACTTAGATTTTTCATAAATAAAACACACTACAATACTATCAATACATTTTATGTTAGGCAGGTAATATTGTGTCATCCCTAAAACCTAAGGGGTGGCACAAATTAAATTCTATCAGTCGGCGATGAGACGAGTTAATAAAATGAATTTCGTACGGAACCCCAATAATCAGGGACGAACGGTTGCGGGATAGACCGCCCTATTTAGGGATCAACAAGACAATGGATAAAGAATCGTTTGTTTTGGAGATGGGATAATTGGCTTGTAGGGTTAGGACAGATTTAGACTTTTGTTCTAGAAATGGTATAAAAAAGTGTCAACATTTTTGAAATAAACACCTGCTATACTAATTGTTTATTTTATTCGTTTTTCTCGTTAGCTAAATCAAAATTACGAGTTTCTTATGAATATCATGTTATTTATTTCCTTATACGTCTCACCTACACAAACCTACATATATAATAAAATTCTGAGTCGAATCTGTACATTACATATTTTTTAGAAAAACTTATTGAAATAGTCCTTATTATCGATACAGAGGCCGAATCTATAATTTTTAGAATTTTTGTCTGTCTGTATGCCTATCTGTCTGTCTATTACCGCATCACGGGAAAACCACTGGACGGATTTTGATGAAATTTGGTATGATGATCCGGGTCAACATATGGATACTTTTTATTGCGGGAAAATATCTCATCTCTGAGAAATCTATACTAAAAGTTAAAACGTAAGTAGGGACGAACCCGAGCGGAGCGAGGGTGATTCGCTAGTACATACATATATCTGTCACTAATGAAGCCAGAAAGAAACTTTACTCATCCACAAAAAAAGAATAGAACGTAAACGAACAGAAATTTATTTCCTAACCACGTAATAAACGGATCATTGAATCCTTAAAAAACTTCCAATAGTATTTTCGTGACACGTTCTACAGTGAAAGGGCGAAGTTTCGGCACTATCATTAGGAGATGATTAACCTTTAGCGGTCGGGGGTCGCGAGCCATTAGCCGAAATGTCAACCACTTGACACCCCCAGCTCAGACTTGATATTTTATTCCATTAAAAAATTATTATCTTTTGGAAATCTGAACATGTTTATTCTAATACCAGTCAATATGGTCTTGAAGGAAGAAATTCACAATTTTTTAAAGGAAAATTAAGAAAAAACAATAATGAAACTTGAGTTTTAAAGATTTTAATTTTTTTTATATATTTATGATAATAATGCACAATGATAACACGAGTAGTCTGTCCGTGTACCGCAGGCAGGCGCTGTTGACGGCGCGGTCGGACACGCGCGAGGACGATGACGAGAGGCCCCTGGACGTTGGCGGTCCCTCCAGTCCGCCGCCACCTCCGCCGCAACACACAAGTAGCTGTAAGTTATATATTCTTTATTTGCTAAAACATTAATCTTATGTTAATATTCTGTCTTAACATTAATCTTATATTTACTTCGTATTTTCCTTTTTCCTTCTGAAGAAAATAACTTTATACTGTACAAGATTGCTTTTTATGTTTAAACTAACGACTCACCCTCGCTTCGCTCGGGTTCGTCCCTAGGTAAGTTTTTTTTTGAGCGGAGCCCTAATTCTTTATAATGTAATATTGTAAAATTCTGTAATAAAAGTAGCCTAACTTACTCCTTATAACATCAACTACCTGCCAGTGAAAGTCCCGTCAAAATAGGCCCAGCCGTTTCTGAAATTTGCCAGAACAAACAGACAAATTTAAAAAAAAATGTGTTTTTCTTATAAATACCGTATAAAATTCCATATGCATTTAGTAAAAAGCTGTTATTTCGACATTACACACAGACACTTCAATTTTATTTATTTGTATGTATATACTTAAGTTCGGGGTATGAAATCTTTAATATCTTTACAGCCTGGTTCAGTTCAAGTGGTGGAGGAGCAGACTCCGGCGCAGACGAAGCAGGCTCAGATTCCTCGTGTTCTGGCGGTGCTCGGGCACCGTCCCCCCCTGCGGGCCCTTCGCGGCCCTCCCCCGCCCCTGACGTGTCTCTCGGCCCGCCAGTCCAACCACCTCTCTTACCTTATCTCTATCCACCCTCTCTCTACCCACCCCCATTTTTCCCTCCTCACCAAATGCCACCAGGATTGCTTTTCAATCTCCATCCTCTGTTGCAACAATATTCTCTTCCGCCTCCTCCCGCGCCTCCCGCGCCTACACCAGCGCCGTCGCTGAGCAAAACGCATAGGTTTGCGCCTTACGCGCTGCCAGGGTTAGGCTCGGCGTTCGAGCAGGTGGCTCCGCGTGCGAGGAGTCTCAGCTCCTCACCCGCCAGGCCGAGGGCAGGCTCGCCGCCGGCACGCGCCGCCTCAGCCGACCCACCCCCCGACGCACCCACGTCCACCACCACTGCAACACCCCCCGCGTCCGATCTCAAAAGTATCGAACGTATGGTCAACGGTCTCGACGTTGAAACACAGGACTGACTCGAGTGTACATAGAGTGTATTTATATCAGCTTATGTCCGCGAGGACACGGGCGTCGTTTTGTATCGTTCCTATTTTGTTTTTCTGTCGAGTTCTATTCGGGTCGAAAGTAATGTTTGTAAATAGTTAAGCTTACACTAGATGGTTGTTTAGTCATTAAAGTTCGGTTGACGGTCATGGAGCGGTTCGCTCATTGGAAGGCTCTTTCTGAGATCATAGAAATGTACACCAGTCAATTTTTGATTTCAATTCACATGTGCAAAGATATATTTTTGATACAAATTCTTAAATTTTCCTAACAACAATCAACAGTAAAGAATAAGTTTCTTTTGTTTCGTAAGCTTTATCTATGATTGATGTAAAAGCTTTCCAATTAATCCGTATATTGCAGCATTTTATTAATATTGAAAGTTCAATGCCTTGGATTTGAATTGACGCTTTTCATTCTTTCTTAATAAAGTCGCACTTGAATTTGCTTTTAAAAACCGCTAGTAATAATAATCAACATCGTTATTTTTAGAGTACATACCTATATTACAACGTCAATGTCTTTTTAACGATAAAATGCTAAAAAAATCAAAGTTTTATTTTATTTAATTTAATTACAAAATACTGCAATAGTATTAATCATGACGTCATAGAACACGTAGTATTCAAACACAATAGATTCACATTAGATTCTCCACTGCAATAGCAATAGGGATAGATCATTCGATGAAAAGGGCTTTTTAACATTTTTTTATTGGCTAAAATAATTATTATGAACAATTTTAAATAAAACTATCTTTTCGGATTTTGTCGCGGATTTATTTGCATTACATAATGTAATGTAATTGGTGCAATTTTCATTTTGTTAATTGTAGGTAGGCTGTCTGTAACAACTATACCTCCAAGACATGTAACACCTCAGTCTCTCCCGTGACCATGGATGCTGTAAAGCATTCGAAACGTCGGGAAACAAAAATGCAAATAAATCCGCGACAAAATCCGAAAAGATAGTTTTATTTAAAATGTCAAATATTCGCGTAAATCTAAGAAAGTATTATTATGAACAAATTTTTATTGTTATATCCTATTAATAATAATTGTTTAGATAAATCTTTAATTAGATTATTTTTACACAAATTAATGTCAATTTTTTTTTTTCACCTAATATGTAAGCCAACATGTCACCGGCCCCTTTCGTCGTAATATTTCGATTTGTTTAATTTCCCACTATAGAATAAAGTAATCAAATAATATCGCTTTATTTTGTAAATACAATTTATAAGGTATATTTACGTGTTTACTAATCAACATATTTTGAAAATATGTTTTGTCAATTGTGCTGTGAGAATAGTGCGTCTAGTTGCTGCTTTCAAAATTAAAAAAAAATAATAATATAAAAAGTTATGATATTCAAAAGAGTATTTATTACCCTTGATTGGTGTTTTGTATGTAAAAATATAATAATGATAATTTAAATATTCTTACTATTTGTATATTATTTCCGCAAGCAACAACTAAATGCACATAAAACGATTGATAAAAATGTAACTGTAAGTTAAATTTTGTAATATATAGTTAATAAATATTTAGTTAAAATACAAAATATATAATTATAAATGAATATTATTTTCCATGGAATTCATTAAATTTAAGCGCATTAAAAGTTTCATTGGAAATAGATGTACGAAAAATTTTTTTTTTTATTAAATATTATTATTATTATTAATATTAACAAAACAAGTGATTTGATTACAGACCGTGTTGTAAGAGTCGATTTGCAATTTTTTCTACACAAATTAAAAACCATGTTGCTTGGTGAAATTGAATGAGACTGTAACTATTTGACAGCTGTATTGAGAACTATTCATTAAAATATATAGATAAATCTATTGATAAAATCAATAATATTGTTTTCTTTCAACATTCCATTTCTATAGACACCTGTCACGTGACTACACACAGACTAAAGAATTACATATAGGTATAGACGGACTCCGCCAAAAAAATGTCAAAGTCAAAAATAGTGGAATAATTTTGCTGTTTATGCTACTATTCCCGATGTTGCCATAGAACTTACTTTCTTTATTCAGGGAATAAGGGATTTTTATTTAATTTAAATTTTTAGAAAAGAAAATATAATTAATAAATAAAAAAATAAGCCTGATAAGATATTCTTTTGTATTTTTGTTAATAATTTTCTTAATCATTAGCTTCTTTTTCTTAACAATAAAAAACCACCTTACCGAAATGAAAAAAATTATAACTGCCTAGTACCTAGGTCCAGTCTGGTACTCAAAATAAACATAGATTTTTATTTGACTTCATGTTTAATTCTAGGGCACACCATCTACATTATTCCTTAGTCTGAATTTGACTATTTATCTATACTAATATTATAAAGAGGTGAAGTTTATGAGTTTGTGACGTTGTAGGGGATAATCTCTGGATTTACTGAACCGATTTAGAGAAAATTTGGTAAGAAAATAGTTTGAGACCCTGGGAAGGACATATGATACTTTTTATCCCGGAAATCATCCCTTAAAGGGTTGAAAATGGGGATGAAAGTTTTTATTGGAAAGCAAGCTAGAGACGAACCCGAGCGAAGCCAAGGTTATTCGCTAGTATATCATATTTGAAGAATTTACAGAATATAATGAAGACATATGTACCACACATCTACCTGAAATAATTTTTACTTACGTCGGACCACCAGGACTCCATCATCCATGTTTAAACCATTGTTATCATCATTGACTATGTAGGTAACTGCATAAAGTGTGTATGAAAAGGAGGCAAATGAGCTCAGTGACAGCTACAAAACAATTTAACAAACAAAGCCCCGAGATCTGTTATCACAGCCGTGACACTCGCCATAAAAACTTTTTTCTAACTCATAACAAGCGTATAATTGAAGATACTCCCAAGGCGCATACGGTATAGCATAATCTGATAAAAATCCCGCGAGGTGTCACGTACTGGCGTAATTGCGTATACTATCAGATGGTCTCGCCATTCGCCCACTTAGTGTATTTGTATGCTAAACTAGTTTTTCTTTAGGCGATAACTTGTAGGTGCAACGCAAAGATGGTCGATAAGGGTAAGTAAGCACCGTCGGTTATCACCGTGCCAGAGTGATAAAGTGCGCTGATTGTGGCCTGCTTTATGTCCATTCATGCGCAACGAGATTTGGGTGTGTAATGAGAAATAATAGATTGTCATCTAAATCCTGTATAGAATTATATACACACATTCGTCAATATGAATTAAATTCATATTTCTTGTAGTATCTTAATGTCTTTAAACTTACTTACAAAGACCAGGAGAAAAATAAATGTTAATCTTAACCAAAAATTATTTATATAATTATATATAATTTTTAATATATGTTAATCTTAACCAATATTTTTCGTTATAACATATTTGTGTGGCGTAAAATGACTCAGCCCCTAAAACGTCCCACTTCTAGGCAAGGGCTTCCCCTGAATGGCCAAATGCGGGCGGACATCGTCCGTCTTTCGAAGACTAATGAGATTTTCTCAGACATGCAGGTTTGCTTACGACATTTTCATTTTTTTGGACACAAAGATAGGCTTCTTTTCTTCATTATTCATTCTTTTTTTATCTTATTCATTAAAATAATCATGACAATCTTGTTCACAATTGTATTGTAAGTAACACATAATAAAATTAATATTTTCTCTTTTTTTGAAGTACGGCCAAAAATGACTTCTAGCCTACAAAAAATAAATTTCATCTTTTTTTTTGTTTAAGTAAAGAACACTAAACAAATAGTAGGTATAAATATTCTTATAATAACTAATAAATATTCTGATAATAATAAAATTTTGGTAGATCGCTCTTCAATTTGGGACTGCTACATATCGGGGGGCACGGCAGTGCCCCCGCCAAGTCGAGCAAAAAAGGGCACGGCAGTGCCATCCTTTTCTCGATCAACATTAACGGAAATTATAAGAATAACATAGTGTAGTAAATAAGATGAATTTCAAGAGCTTTCTTCCCCCTAATTAACTTAATCAAATCAATTCTAAAACAGCCGATATCACATACATCTATACATACAATAAAATTGTCACTAAGCGGAATCTGTACAATAAATATTTTTTGGAAAATCTTATTGAAATAAACCTTATTATCGATACAGATACTCTCTGTCTGTCTGTCTGTTACAGCATCACAGAAAAACCACCGGAGGGATTTTGATAAAACTTGGTATTGTGATAGCTGGTTATCCGGGTCAACATATAAGATACTTTTTACCGCGAAAAAATATCTCATTTCTGAGAAAAACTGTAAGAACTGCAATGTAAGAGTATACTAATCTGTAAAACCTAAGAATTTGGTTTTTGGTCTTCTGAACGCGGGCAGAGCCGCGGTCAATGCTAGTCTTATATTAAAATCATACAAACTTAAATGTAAATACAAGTGGTATATGGAAATGCGACGGTGGCTTGGTTTTATAACTACCTACCTACTTGTTTAACCTTTAAGGAAACTTAGCACCAAGAGAGTATGAGCTGAATATGAATAGCCAATGATCAGTTGTGCAGAATCTTTTTATAAACTACGTGTCTCTTCTAATTTAGTACTATAGGATCGATAAATAAACCAAAAAATAACTAAAAAATATATTTAATATAAAAAATATAGTATATTAATTTACATATTTATTCATTTAAAAATCTTTATTGCTCTGACTTAATATTCAACAAACCTCCAATATATCGATTACGTTTGCGTACCTTGAGGACAATTTAGATTTCAGGCTATCTAAATATATACATTGATATACTTGTATGATGAAATGGAAGAGACATATGAAGTCATCTCAACCATAAAGCCCATTTCAACTTTTTATGGGTTTCTGTCGCTACCGTGGCTATACGCATGCTGCGAGTTCGTTTGCATTCGTTATTGATGTACCACCGAGCTTTGAATAAAAATATTTCAAGGTAACACGTGATCTTCGAAGCTCTACTAGACAGCCAATTGCGAAAGCCAAAGTCTGTAGCCAAACTCAGTAGCTAACAAATTCACCTAACCATGCTGGCCACATCTAGCAGGAAAGACTTATCGGAGAACCGATATTGATTCAGCAGATGGGCTATAGAGTAGAAAAGTTTCTACTGTTCGACTAACGTAGTGTCACCCTCCCACTATGCGGAGCGATGATATACGCAAAGTGTTGGCAGTATTTGGAAACGAGTAATATAACAGATTAAGCTTAATGTCTGATCGTAAGGAAGTTTATGTCCAGCAATAGACGAAAACAAGCTTTTAATAAAGCAATATAACTTAATAATTGTTTTGTTTACTTTTATTGGAATTAATGAGAGAAAAAATATTGTAAACGTGGATTTTAGACTGCATAATAGTATTTTATAGATTTTATTTCATCACAAATCTTGTAATATATTTTACATTAATTACACTTGAATAGTAAATATTTAGTAGATTATAAGTGACCTTAAGCCCATATTATTGCCGTTAATCGGACACATTAATTAAAATAGCAAATTACTGCAAAACAGTCAAGATTCAGATGTCCGAGCTGGCGGCGTGAAGAGTTATTTGAAAAATTTCGAACCGTGAGAATGAAAATTGAAAAAACCAGCTAACAAGGTATAGGTGAATGGCCATTATAATTAATTGTTAAATCCTATTGCATCTCGTTTCCTTTAAGACTAATCTTATATTTTTATCTCTTTCGTTGAAGCGCGCATCGTCACAAATCACTTGAGACAATGCAGACAGATGCGGTGGCAATCTACGGCAGAGGTCCCCAATATTAGATCTGCGTAATAAAGGTCCGCAACAACTATTGTCAATAGATAACTTACTCTGATATTGTTACTTTTTCCAAAAACAAACTAACAACATTTTTACTACAGTAGTATATATAAAAAACTATATCTACTACTTCTCAATTCCTACAGATTTTTATTGGTCATTAAATATGAGGCTTTAAAAATTTACGTGATACGTGATGCAACTGACAAAGTCTAACGGACTACTATTTTACATGTGAAAGTGTTTGTTTGTATGTCTGTTATTCCTTCACATTAAAACGCCTGAATAGTTTTGGATGAAATTTTTTACACTATGAATATAACCTGAAATTGTACAAAGGCTAGTTTTGGTATAGTGTAGGGTAAGGCTAAGTTACTAGCTGTTCAGAATTCGAATTATAACATCACAAATGGCATAAAATATCTAACTTAATTTTATTACATGGTTTTTACTCTCAGCTCCATTTATATAGTAATACTAAACTACTAATACTAAACTATAAGGTAGAGATAAAGAATAACCTAAGTCCATCCTCATGATTCAATCTATGATCTTGTTAAATTTCATCAAAATCTGTTTAACGGTTTAGGGAGAAAAAGCTAACGGACCGACAGAGTACTTTCAGATTTATAATGTCAATATAGATATACATAGATATTTTATCCCAATCTATGCTTTATAGTAAAAGATACAAGAACCTTAAATTATTTGAGTTTGTTACTTTCTACGCGGACTCCAGCATTCTAAAGTTGATAGCACATGCCATGGCGGAGAAATATATTCTGAGTTTATTTAAGACGTAATAAAACTGATTTAGGAAGAAACCCTACTATAGTTAATGCACAAAATTGTAATTTGATAACAAATTAAGAAATCTATTCAGAAAAATCGATTAAATTTTAAAAATTAGCTCTATATTGAAAGCGATTATCGTTTTAACTTCGATTGATCCGGTCCGGATGTTTTTATAAAAAAAACAGATTAACAATATTTTAATGTAACCTATAATATGAATATAATTTACAATTTTAATGAATAAATTTAAGGAAAATTTACGTTCTTCTGCACCAAATATTTGCTCTAAGCACAAAAAAACCTGTGAAAATGTACGACTTAGCAACATTCACTTATTATTTATGAAATTGATGTGGGGTTATCAAGCGCGGATCCATTTCTCAAAAATGTTGTGGTCACAGACACCCGAAAAATGGCTAATTACATATCGAAGTAGAGACTTATAATCAATATATGTATTTCATTTCTAAAAAGGTATTTTATTCTGTGTTGAATAAGAAACACTTTCCGGGGTTCTATGTTTACCTACGTATTTATAAAAAAAATATATTATTTTTTTATTTATTAAGGCATTGGAATTATAACATTAGTCTATCGGACTCGGTTATGGGCTTGCCCACGGTGCCCATAGCGGTAGATCGACACTTAGGGGATACTTAAATACAAAAGTTCTTTTAATCTTATTTTGTACATTTTGTGTTTTTAAAGCATTTAAATGACAATAATTTATTAATACTCTGTTTAAGCTTCATTCATAACAAATACAACGTGTCATAATGTAGTTCCAAATTGAGAAATCTCAGGCTTTCCATACAGCACAGGGCAGTTCTAGCGGTGTACAAACACGGGGATTACAACAGGGATTTTAATGCAGAGAATTATTTCAGTGAACGGAACCAATTTGCCGAAAACGAAAACAGGAAAAAATATCGGAATGTAAAAGGTAAAGTAACAAAAGTTTCCCGTCGAATATATCGGGAGCTCTCTCATACGTTACAATTTTTTCCATCCTGTACCGAAACCGGCAATTGTTCGGAAACAAAAAGTGACATTTATTCGGCCATTTTCACGACGACGAATTGCGGCCGACAAAAAATTATGAATTTTTGGACATTTCCATCGCCGGTGGCGCGGTTAGGCGCCGCAGAATTTTAACGAATGTTCATTGACAACATCTTTCGCTGTCGGTGTCGGCTTTTTTATTATTTTCGGGATATTTATGAGGCAAGCCCCTCGGCTTGACGTCGTTGTCACCCCGGGGTTGTAAGGGTTTCTTGCGAGGTGGAACAAGGTAATGACTCGTAAAATTAAAGATTGGTCGAAATGGTTTTAGCAACAAAATGTTTAGTATATATAATCCAGATCACGTTTACGTCGACTTTCGTGATGAATTTACTTCACGAATTCATTTATTTCCTTTACAAAAAAAAAAGATCTCCTTAGATTTCTTTTAGTTAGAGCCGGCGGCGTGATAGATAGTGTCACGACGGACCGACACGTGACACACGAGGCCTATCTTTACAGTGTATCCTACAGCTTAGTATAGTATGGTTAACTACATATTATATAAAACTTAAGATATAAAGTTCATATTACATTTTCATTTAACCAACATAGCTGCTCTCATAAAAGGCGATTATATTAATGTTGAATGCATATATAGAAATCATTTATAAATACAGTAGCTTACATCAATCATCGACATATAAAAAGATCTGAATAATACAAACTACTCAATACGTTCTTTGATAACATCTCTACAACAAATACGTAATACCGATAAATATTAACTACAACCCATTATAGCAATTGAATGTGTTATTCTATCGATTGATTGCATCCTATTTTTTTTTTTGCATTTTTCAGAAATATGTATGTATGTTGACGAATACAAAATCACTTTACGCAGAAACTAATCGACGGGTAATTTAGACAGACATCCATCCGGCTCGAGACAATAGCCGTCGACATGCATTATGCATCCCGCTGCCGTTTTTGGGAATATGAATATGCGAACATTGTCTAAAATTGTGCACCTTGAATCTCTTAAAACCGTGAAGGATTGCTCAACAAGTATAGCTTCAATTTGCAAAAATACGTCCTACCCCTACGAAATTAGATTGTTTTCACATTAAACGCACAACACGAGCTCGGCGGGAATGATTCACGCAAATGCAATCACGTCAGTACATACAGTTTTTAGTATGCACCCAAGTCGAAAGCACTTGACGGGTGGGCTGATCTATTTCCGAGAGCTACCGAGTCGCGGCGAGCCACCGAACTGCGCCGAGATTACCTGCCACGATACTCTAAATTAATGACTCTCGCGACCCCGATATATGTCTTTCAGCGTATGTTAATACGAAATGGAGATTTATCTTATCGCGACCGCTAGCTAAAAACGATCCGACAGATTGCGCTCAGCGATATAAAACGAATCGATGCGTCGCAAACTTCGGTGTCGGAAAAAAACAGAAAGTAATTTTTACTCCAATCAATCACCCGAAAAAACGGGCCTTGTACGTCGGGTAATTCGCTAGAATTCCTGCTGAGATTTAGTAGCGGGTCGCGTGCTAAACCAGAGACGATATAATGAGCGGCGCGCTCATTGTCCGATCCAAAAAGAGAAGATAAATAACCAAATGAGAATGGAAAAACGGCAAAAAAGCTGGAATAAAGGAAGCTTCAATTGGACAAAGGCGCCGAATAGGGATAATTCGTCGGGGATATGCACCAATTGTCACTGTTTTGCTCGATTTTTAAGTGGTATGCGTTGACAGTGTGGACGCAGTGACGCGGGCGTGAAACCTATAAAATTTTCACCCTCAGGGATTCCATGCAACTATCTTAATAATGCCGGCACACAACACTGTTAGTAATATCTTGTTATGTGTAACTCACATAGACATCCTTTAAACCTATAATTTTAAAAATGTGGGCATTATTTAGAATGTTGAATGTACTAAATTACTTATTACTATAAAAGTACACTGACTGCAAAATCAAACGAGTAGTTTATTTAGCCTTGAAGGTATTTTTTTTTAATTTTAAAGGACTAACCAACAATGAATTCATTAAAAAAGTACTATGAAAATCGATTCACAATTGGCAAAGTAACGTGTACAGTGTACACGCAAAACACACATCGGAATTGAATTCCTACTATCTTTTTAAAGTCTGTTAAAAAGTCGGTTTTTGAAGTCGGTTTTAAAGTAAAAATTGTTAATTTAAAATTAATACTCGAAACTCTGTCGTATTATACTTTATATCTCTTAAAACTAGACAAGTTGAGTGCAAACGAAATTCAAACTAAGGAGATCAAGACAAATATTCATATGGGAATAAAATCTGCAATTTTTCAAGCAAACGAATTGTACATTTCTACACTACAAGAATCTTATCATCTTGTCATCTAGTACTTCTAAGATTTCACGTGTGTTTATTTGTTTAGCATAACTAGACAACTAGACTTTTTCATAATAGAGTAAGGTTAAAATTTCAAAATAAGTAATTTAACTTGTATATAAATAATGCATTAAGCAGCAAGTAACTGTGTATGGAAAATAAACTTATTTTCGCATAGCAATATGTAAAATTATCAAATTATCGAGCTCACAAATAGAAACGATGTCAAAGGCTAAAATATTATTGCCAATACACAAAATCCCAACCAATATCGAAGATTTTATCTAGACGGTAATGTAGAATGGAAATGATACCAATCTTTCCCTTTGCGGGTTGCCCAAGTCGTTTGTAAGAGATCCCGAAATCGGCCGCGACGAATCAACGTCAAGCGTATAAAATCAACATTTAATATTCGACACCGACCGCATTCGCAATATATGTCCAAATATTTGTCGCAATGCATTTCGCTGAATTCAAATAAAACCGTGACAAAAGGCCCTAGTATCCCTAGAGATCGGTCAAGTGCTGCATATGTGGATAAGCTGTTCTAAACTTTATTTGCTGAATTAGAGAGGCTATTTTCATTTGCATGACACCTAAATACTTCCTACTTAAGACGTCAGAATTGTGTGATCGCATTTGGTACTCAAAGTATGTAGTCTTATGATATAATTCAGATTATCATATTTTGTTGAGTCTTAAACAATTAGCAAACGATTTTGAACTTTATCTTCCTATATATAAGGTTGTTTGGAGATTCAATTGGTAGAAATGCTAGCAAAGTGGACAAACCTTAATGCTAGATTCGCAACGGCTAATATTTTGCGGTTATATTGGCTAGTAGATACACGATAATATATTGGGTCGGTGAGCCGCAGCTCTGTCACGGTTTTCATATCAAAATTAAATATCTGTAGGAGGGAGAGAATTCGTGCAAACAACAAACCTACATTGTTTTATCTGTTTACTTTGCTTTCTATAAACGCTATGAGTTTTATCTATTTATTATGTCTCCGCGATTGTGTGTATAGAACATCTTATTAGAAGTGATATCTACTGGGTTTATATTACTTGTGAAGGTGAAATTATTTTTTTTACAATATCCCGAAACACATTTCATAATTATTATGAGCCATACGATCTCAGAGTAATTTAGGCCATTTATATAGACTAGTGTTCGACGACGAAATTCGACTTTAATATAAAAAAAACTGTTTCCAAAATTTTTTATTCGTGACACTAAGGCTCGTCAATAGCTACTAAATAATAAAAAGAAAATCGGTTACCAAATGGGTTCGAGCCTTTTTTTTATGTTGGGAAATGTATTTACGCATACTACCTGTAGACATACAGATGGTTATGTGGGACTTACCAGCTAGAAAAGCCAGTACTACCCATCTTAATGGGATGTCACAGGATCGAAGAAGACCACAACAGCCATGGGGTTGCCCCACTGTCCACTCTGCTCAGGGAAGAACCAGGAGCAACCCGCATGGTACATCACCCACTGAAGTGGGCCACCTTCCTGTGCGTTTCTTAGCTTCGCGCTCGGCTGGACACTGATGAATTTAATTATTTTTTGTTAATGTCTTTTAAAGGTCTAAGTAGACTACAGATAACTTCGCCAGTGTTACCTACATAGAATAGCGAAGACGTAATAAGGCTAAATGTATTTTTAACTACAATGCAAAGAAGTGCTACAGTATCTATCGAATATGCAAGACGTACCTATAGTTTCATTATTACACATAACAAATTAGCGACTTACCCTCGCTTCGCTCTGGTGCGTCCCTAGGTACGTTTCGATTTTTTTGACCGGAACCTCTTATTCTTTTTCTAAAATAAAAGTAGCCCAAGTTACTCATTATAACATCAGCTATCTGCCAGTGAAATTTAAAATCAGTCCAGCTATTTCGGAGATCAGCTGGAACAAATAAGCGGACAAACAGACAATTTAAAAAAAATGTGTTTTTCTTAGTTACATTTAGTAAAAAGCTGATATTTTGACATTACATACAGACACTTCAATTTTATTTATCTGTACCAGAAGACCACAATTTCATTTTGTATGAATTTTAGATATTAATATGGGAAAATAAGGCTTTATAATTAATTTAATATAAAAACGCACATAAAAAATTGAGCTTCTCTATCAAAATTTTGTTCTACAAAATCCATCAAGTGCGACTCGGTCTCACACACAAAGGCTTCCATTCGGATATAAAACCCTAAAAATGAATTTAACGCATATAAAAATAATTGATTTATATGAAATCCTGTATACACTGTAGCCATCAAGCGTGTCAAGCTACTGACTCATGCATTGTCACACTTCAGTGGCCTTTGACTGTGACCTTTTGATCAACTAATCATTCATCTCATGACAATGGTTTGCCTATGCTGGCATCATGTACAATCGTACGTGTAGTCAAGGCTTATTGTACGAGAAAAGTAAATATCTACATCGTATAAGAAAAGTCATTATTTTATCTTTTGATTTTTATATCTTCTCATTATTTATGTTAAAAATGAGGTATTTGCATGGAATATCCCAAACACTTTATATTCTTTCTTCGAAATCACTCAATAAGGTCGCGGACCTTTGAAAAAAAATTGTGAAGATGATTATAGTTTTGATATTAGTATTAGTTTTTATAATTGGGTTATTCTAAAATATTGTGATTGAGAAAATATATTGTGTTTTTGTAATTTTTCTAGACATGAAACAGAAAAACATATACTGTATACATAAGTGCATAGTATACAAGTTTTCTGCTTTATCACTGAATAGAACAAATATTTGTATTAAAATAAAGAATCCAATATTCATTAATAGAACCTTTTTTTTAACGTTGGGAAATGCATTTACGCACGAGGTGTGGGACTCACCGGCAAAGCCAGTACTACCCACTAAAACCCAACAAAACGTCGCAGGATCGCTTACGCATTCAACTACGACGCCCCGTCGGCAGGTCTGCCGAGGCAGACCACAACGACCATGGGGTTGCTCCAAAGTCCACACTGCTATCAGAGAAGTACCAGGAGCAACCCGCGTGGTACACCGCCCTCCGAAGAGGGCCACCTCCCATCGCCCACTGAAGTGGGCCACCTCCCTGTGCGTTTCTTGGCTTCGCGCCCGGCTGTATTGCCGGGCACTACTGAGCCCCCGCACCACGACAAGGTGAACGCACGTTGGGGGGGTCATTAATAGAACCTACGACCTTTGAATAGTTAGGCAATTCTAGTCCATCAGTCTGCAGTCTGCACCATAGTACTATGGTCAAATATCGCCTCAAATTATAGCCAAAGAAAGTAGGTATCATATGCAAAAGTTTAAAATATCGTATTTCTATGGCATTGTCGTGTATTGAAATGAATATATGTATATAAATAAACATTTAGAGGAGTTTTGTGTTATTTAGGAAAGGCGCCTCACGGCTTGGGAAGTACATGCATTAAGAACATCCGAACAAAATGCCACAACAGGTTTAGGGCAAGGGTCGTTTAAATTACACTGCATTAGCGACAGGAAGCGATTTGAAGCGATATTTATTTATTGGCCTGATTTATGCATCGGCTGTCAATTGCTAAGGGTGCGGTCATATGGCCGTGTCGCGCTTCGACGATTACGTCTCACCATACAAAATCACTAGATGTGCCACTAACAAATGCAGGTGAAAATAAATATGAATTTGTATTTTTATAAACACAATATTTGACTATTGTTAACTACAATAAAAAATCTATAATCCTTTCTTTCTAATTTTTCCCTATCTTCCTTAGTAAATAAAAAAGCTTTATCAGAAACATTATTACATATTTGCTATTTCCAGTCACAGTCTATCTAACACTATCTAGCGCACTAAACTTCATGCAAATCCGTGCAACCGTTTTGTAATAACAAGTAACAAAACCACAGAAACACCCACTAACATATAAACTTTCGTATTTATAATAAATTTGATGTGTTTTACATTTTTTGGGAAAACATTAACATTATCTCTTCTAGGGCCGGTGAGGGCATCCGCCGAGTCAGTTTTCACGCGCGGCTGAAGCTATTAATATTCAAATTGGTGCGATCTGTCGCCGCTCCACGGACGAGTGTGGACGCGCCGCTATAATTTATATGTGAACAAAGCAAAACCGAAATTTAAAATGGACTGTAATTGCCGTCACAATCTCTTATTGTATTTTAATATACAATTTGATTGTGGAGTAAAGTGTTTTGTCACGCTAGTGTTCATAATGTGGAGATCCATCGGGAGAAGGATGTTTAAATTATTTGTAAACTACTAGTTAGTATTCTTTATAATGAAACTTAGAGACTTCATATTTTGTTTAATAGTATGTTTGAATTATAACGCATTTAAATTACTCTTAATTATTATTACTTTTATTAACCCCCGACGCAAAAATATTGGTGTTATAAGTTTGACATATGTATCTATGTATCTTTGTGCCTGTCCGTGGCATCGTAGCGCCTAAACGGTTGAACTGTTTCTTTTTTGTTTGAAGGTGCCTTGATCGAAAGTGTTCTTAGGTATAAATAAAGAAAATCTGTTCAAACGTTTGCAAGCTATTAGCTCTTTTCTAGATGGTAAAAGCATATGAGCAAGTCCACAGATCTAATCCATTCGATACTTGGTATCCTGTTACTTAAAGGACGTTGCAAAAATTTGGTCCTTGGCCAGATACTACAGCTTCACTTGGTATATACAAAAATAAAAACTCTTTACTAATATACTACAGAGATTGTTAGAGATGTTTAGGGATCACTGAAATGGTGTCAATAATAGGTTAGTTAGGTTATAGTGTTGGAAGTTTTTTAAATTTTTAATTTTATTTCTTGTACTTATTTGTTTTGTGAATACTGACTGACTCTACATGGTTATATGTAAAAGGACACATAGCACTATAAGAAGCAAAAGGCATTAAAATATTATAGTTCTAGAAATAACAAACTATACTTCGAACACACTCATGTAGCATTATAAATTATTAACATGCATATTCATAGAACAATGTTATTTTTTAATTATAACAACATATTAACTCCCACTGAAGTGAGAGCGCATACGCAACTTTTTCTAACGTCATTTGACGCCAACTGTCAGAAAGTCTATTACCCTTTATTGGTGTTAATATTTATAAGTACTGTGAAGCCTGTGAAGGGCATAAATAATGATAGCGTCGGCTCGATCGAGTTTGATTATGGCCGTATAAAGGCAAGACTACGTTACAATACAACATATAGAAATTATTATTTAAGAACAATATAACATTATTTACGTATAAATAAAACCAATAATATATACTTTTACATGTTTTTATCAATAACCATGTACTGTTAATATATCTACTGTTGATTACTATTTAAAAAGAAATTAAAAACAAATAACTCGCATGAGATATATGATGCCCATAACTGAGTATTTCATTGGAAAACTTCTAAAAGTATCATTTTTTCATACATTGTACTTACATGTTGTTATTTCATAAGAACACTTCAAAACATTTTTTTAATCGTTGGACATAACCTTGAAGGAAAAATTTGTTTTCTAATAGGAAATATGGACAAAAGTTGTGAAAGAATCAGTAATTTGAGCGAAGTTCGTTTTAATGTAGATCTGAAGCCATTATAACGTCACTGGCAATTCGAAGGAAACTTACGAAATCCATAAAAAATTTTTTACAATTAAAGCCTTCCAATTCCACCGCCACATTAGGCAATTTCTCGTAATTCCAAATATTTCTCACCACACAGCTTCGGTACAATTTCGCAATTATAGCGAATCCTCAAGCTTTCGTTTCCGATAAAAAATTGTTTTTAAATGTGTGAATGAAACGCAATGCTCCTAAAAACAACGGCCATATATCCATTGAAATCTTTTTAATTAATCGTATGAGAATCTTATCTGAGGAAGACAATAATTAAGAAAAAGTCAAGAATTCTTACAAAAAATCTGTGACCTATATACATATATAGAATTATTCTTTACGTTTAAATATTATTTAACAAACTATACTTTAAAAATTTTGACGTAATAACTTTTTAAGAAATTATAAGTATGATAACAAGAATGTTATGGTTATGAACGAATGGGGCTAATTCGTTCATGGTTATGGTATCCATAGTTGTATAATGACACGATGTACCTAATTATTTTACATATTATATATTTTTATCGCTAATAAAATTATATCTAACGATCCTATGGTGTTATATTGTTTTGTCTTGAGCATATATGTAGATTGATTCTTGTATTAATTTGGTCAATGACCGAATTCACGATAGATTGATATTGAGAGGGTGTTGGTTTCTATATACTACTTTAGAAAAACTGCATAAAATAATGCTTAGATATTTTTAAAAGTTGGTTCCAACCCATTATTTACATCAAAAATTAATACTACTAATACTTATAGATCTCAATCATACGTTATGATAGCTATGGTACCTACTAGCTGATATGTCGGACACTACGCAGCCATGTAAGTCAACATAGCTTCATCGTAATCGGACAAAAAGCTTAAAATACTTTCAATACAAACAAACAAATATACACAAATTCATATATATTAGAAGATATGGATATACACTAGCTTATAAGAAAAATATAATACAAAAGGTGCCTATTTAAAGGGTGCTATCAACTTGCAACGTGACGCCTAACATTTTACTGTATGGAAACAATACATTTTCATGTGAAAGAGACCGCCGTACCTCGCAATTTACCATATTAGCGCAACAATGCACTTAGTAGGAAAGCGTATTAACACATCATTATAACAAAAACGTGGCTCGCTCACTTCTGTATACAGATTGTTTGTTAATTGTTATTAATTGTAAACCCATGAGAAGCTACACTGTTGTCACATTTGAAGAGAAAAATGAAGCTATTTTAAATATATTCTCTCCTTCAACCATTTTTACTGTAAATTATTCGAAACGACGAGTAACAGAAATATAAAAACCCCGACAATATCCAAAGATTCAACAGTTTCATTTAAAATGTCAACTTTTCGCGAAAATCTTAGAAAGTTTTAAAATATATAGAGTCGGTTTTGTAAACACTTTGTGCGAAGTCATTAGTAGATAATGTCAGCAGATTACATTTTTTATTTTAAGCTACATTGTATTTATAAAATGGCCTCTCTCTCTTACTTAGCCGTAAAGGTTAACCGCCAAAGCATTCTGAAATAATTCAATGGTATTCATTTATTTAGTTAACAGCCTTATTTAGTTTGTCTTTCTGTTACAAAATTACGCACGGATGGATAGGCATGATACTTTGCACACAGATATTTAAGGGCCGGAGAGTGATGGGCTTGCTATCCAGGATCATTAAATGATTCCCATGGCAAATTAAAAAAAATCTTAATCTATACTAATATTATAAAGAGGTAAAGTTTGTGAGTTTGTGATGTTGTAGGGGGTAATCTCTGGATCTACTGAACCGATTTAGATGAAATTTGGTAAGAAGATAGTTTGAGACCCTGGGAAGTACATAGGATAGTTTTTATCCTAGAAATCATCCCTTTAGAGGATGCAAATGGGGAAGAAAGTTTGTGTGGGGAAATATAAACATAAATTACATAAATTACTCGTATCTTATTATGAGGAATCGCCTCCTTCAAGTTTTCCCAAAGTTTTTAAATTTAAAGTGCTTGCATCCTAATTACTACTACTACTGTCTTCCTCGTCTTCTTATTATGTTGTTGCTAAGAAAGTAAGACTTTGCATAGGATATTATTTTTGTGTACGTAAGTTCCTTCGAAGACCATCTGTTGATAATTTACAATAAAAATAGTCTGATACTTATTTAATCAAATCAAATAGCGCATTACCTAATCCAGCTTTCTACTAGTAAAAAAAGTACAAACAAACATACAAACAAACAAAAAGCAACATTAACAATATCAATGATTTTAACTCTTTCTGTCTACATGAAGCTATAGAACGATAAATAGGTGCTACAACAATGAGAAAATTGTTGAACATGGACATTAAAATAAACAAATCTATAGACGCTGGTTTGTCGAGTACAATGACCCATATCACGTGGTTTGCTAAACGGAATTACATAATTATATTAAATCACACACTACGACATGCTGCATTGTAATACTTGAGTCAGTCACACTCGGACGACGCGTCGTCACTTATTTGCCTGACAGCTAGTAATTGCCATATATTCCATCACCTATAAATACATAATAGTTTTATACAAATGCACTAGCGAGTCACCTTCGCTCCGCTCGAGTTCATCGTTCATCTAGTTACGTTTTGACGTTTAGTATAGACTTCTCAGAGGTGACATATTTTTCCGCCACAAAATATATCCTATATGTTGACCCGGATAACCAGCTACTACCATAGCAAATTTCATCAAAATCCCTCCAGTGGTATTTCCGTGATGCGGTTACAGACAGACAGACAAAAATTCTAATGACTATAGATTCGACCGACTGTTTCGATAATAATGTCTATTTCAATAAGATTTTCCAAAAAATATTTAATGTACAGATACGGCTTAGTTACAATTTTATTATATGTATACTGGTAGATAGATAGATAACATTTTTTTTTATTTCTGTTTGGCGGCTATTTATGTATCACTGCGACCATTTCTGGTCTATTGTGATCGCCGCTATTTTGTACTAGAGTGAACCACTAAACCCTGCTGATGTTAAGAACTGCAGGATTTTCTTAGGGTTACACTCTTTTATTTCATCTAGGCTTGGAAATTGTTTTCCTAGATGAATACTACGTTTGTGCATGAGCGGTCCACATTCCCACAGAAGATGCAGTGGCGTTTCGTCTGCCTCCCTGCAAATTCTGCAGGTTCGCGTTTCGCTCAGCCCCAGGTTGAACATGTGCTTATTTAAGCAGCAGTGTCCAGTAAAGGCCCTTACCAGTATTCGTAAGGTTTTTCTGTTTATCCCTAGCATAAGATTGTTAAACCTTTTGTCGTAGGCTCTAATTAATGCCTTGGAGTGATTCATTCCATTTGATTCAGTCCAGGTCTTGTTCGCAGTCTTAAGACATGCTATCATTAGGGTTCTTTGAGCTAGGCTCTTAGGTATCCCACAGAAGGGCTCAGGGCCCTGCTGTATGCCAAGAGCTCCCCCTCTAGCGAGCTTATCGGCACACTCGTTGACAATTACACCTGCATGACCCGGTACCCATCTTAACACTACTTTGTTACTTCTTGCTAAGTCGGTCCATGCACTGCTCCACTAACTTTGATGAGACTGTGTTTGAGTCCAGCGCTAGTAGTGCAGCTCGACTATCTGAATGTATATAGATAGTTTGATTTGTGTAGTGCTTAGACAAATTAGCTTCTACACATTCTAGAATAGCATAGACTTCTGCTTGGAAAATAGAGGCAAACTGTCCGAGGTGTATGCTTTTGCTAAACCTCGGTCGCTCTCCATATATCCCACAGCCAACCTTTGCTTCTATTTTTGAGCCATCTGTAAACCAGATAAGAGATCCGTTTTTATGGATTACCTGGCTTTTAGTCCAGTCTTCTCTTGACGGAAATTCAATTGTATAATACTTTACAAATGAGTGCCGAATTAACATGGCATCAGTCGTCATACCAAGTAGCGGCATTTCTTGCAATGAGTCCTGTACGGTTCTCATTTTTCGTGAGAGCCAATGAGTTCTGCCTTGGATTTTAGCTCTATGCATGCTGGCTTTTGCCTCCTTTTGTATGAATAGGTCTAAAGGTGGCAGCTCGAGTAATGCATTTAGTGCCTGACCAGGGCACGTAGACATGGCTCCTGTGGTCATTAGACAGGCTGTTCTTTGTAGACTGTCTAGTTTTTGAATGGCTGTCGTCTGCTTGGCCTTATTGGACCAGGCTACCGATGCAAAGATAGATAACATACAGTAATAACATAAACGACCTCTTACCGACGTTCTGTTCCTTAAACTACACTAATAATATAATAAAGAGATTATGAAAGTTTGGATGTAGGAAATTCTTTAAATAATATTAAGAATGGCCTTCAGGGTGGACAATTGATATAGGTATTACTCCGCTACCATAAAAAGACTTTTCGTAAAGCTCAATTTTACAACATAAGTCAAACATTTTACGTAATTTATAAACTTATTCTTTAACTGAAAAGTCAACCGATTTCAAAAGCTTTAAAGTTTTTAGTATCTCACTCCTAAGTACCCTTCGAGGTATAGCTTATAGTATATTAAAAAAAATCATCAAAATGAGTTGACAAAAATCTTCTTTTTTTTAAATTGGTTTAAAATCACCAAAATTTTCTTTTTTTTATTCTGGCATTTGTGATCTTCATATTTTTTTGTGTAAATATTTAGCGTTTGATTTTCGTGTTTTTTTTTTAATGAATACAAGGATGGCTCTAAGTAACGAAACAATCTAGGTCTAGGAGTGGTATAATATTTTCATAATTATTTTAAAGGCTGTTACACTTTTTTTTGTTAAAAAGTTATTACGAGTATATGGTTAGATCTGAGTTGCATTTAATTCTTTAGTTCGCTATGGGAGAAGGTTTGAATTAACGCGACAGCAATACATGCACGTATACAATATAGATGTACCTACTAAAAAAAACTATACTTTTTATTTTTTAACAACGCACATATACAAAAATGTGTTTGTTAAATTGGCATATATTAAAAATAACCTATAACTATAGCTTAAAATGGTATTTTTCGATTGAATATGATAGAGAGAAACTAATAGATACTTAAGAGTTCTACATTTTTCATTTAAGTACATAACTTGATTTTATCTATACATATAATAAAACTGTAGAGGTCAAATGTCTATACATAGAAAAAAATGTTAAAAACCTAGTCAGGGGGGTGCAAGAAGAGAAATAGAACAAATCCAGTCTGTTTGTCTGTTTGTACGGGCTAATCTCCAAAACTGTTGGACTGGTTTAAATGAAATTTTGCACGGTGGTACCTTATTCCCCGGTCAACATTTTAGATACTTTTCATCCCGGAAATGTAAAGAGTTCCCGTGGGATAGTTAAAAAATATAGTGACTTATACAGCTAATTATGTACACAAAAACTACTGAATGGATTTTAATGAAACTTTACAGTAAAATAGTTCATACATCAGAATAAAAAATAGGCTACTTTTATTCTGGAAAAATGTACGGTCTGTCTAGACCTAGACCTAGTGCTAGTAATTAATATTTCAATACATGCTAACATTACACAAGTGAAAGCTGAAACTATTTAGTTGTATTTCGTTTATTAGTTTGTTAGTTTGCCATTATATCCATACAGCAACGAATCGACGTCATTTTTACAAATAAATAAAATACCAAGTTGGCAAAGCATTCCAGACATTCTTTAGAACTATTTTTAATCAAATTACAAAAGCACTATTATAAAACTTCTATACCAGACCAAATTAAACATACAATGAAATAAATATCGATATGGTAATTCAAATGTATCCGCTAATGTAATCGATTCCCATGACATGTGGCGGGCGTGGTGACTACGGCGTTATTTCACGGCTGCGCGCGCGCAATCAGGTGAGACAACGGGCGCAACGGTACGACATTTCACTATCTGTTGTAAATTGCTGTTTTATTACTATTTCATGTAAATCTTTGATATTAGTATATTATATATAATAGGATAACATTGTAAAAAAAAATCGATAAAGTGGGTATTGTTTATGATTTTTACACAATTAAATATGTCAATCATTTGTTGTGATGCAGTGTGGCATTGGTTTCATTTATATTAATTTCACAATTTCAATTGCAGGCCATCCTATGATTTTCTGATCAGATTGAGATGTCTAAAGGTATAATAAAAAAGTTAAATATCTAGAAAAATATGTGTTTATGTTCTTCAACAAGTTAATTGACTAATATCTTTCCCCTTGGTTGGAACATATAAGTATATTGTATATAATAATAAAATTGTAACTAAACCGAATCTGTACATTAAGTATTTTTTGGAAAATTTCTTTGAAATAGACATTATTATCGATACAGAGGCCGAATCTATAGTTTTTAGAATTTATGTCTGTCTGTCTGTTACCGCATCACAAAAAAACCACTGGAGGGACTCTGATGAAATTTGGTATGGTTATATCTGGTTATCCGGGTCAACATATAGGATACTTTTTACCGCGGGAAAAGATCTCATTTCTGAGAAAAAATATAAAAACTGCAATATAAGAGTATACTAATATGCAAAATTTAAGAATTTGGTTTTTGGTCTGGTAATGCTAGTTGTATATAAAGTCAGTAATAAAAACATATTTAAGTACTTCTATGGATGTAAATTAATATACCTATACAATTTAGCTGTACAAAGTAAATACTTTAAGTTCTACGACGTTTCCGTAAATTTGTAATGACTACTTGCTGTGCCAGCGGTCGCGGGTTCGAGTCCTGCTGTGGTACGGGTGTATATATTTATAATATGTATGTATTTAACATTATATATGTGTAGTGTATCAACTATCTGGTATCCATAATACAAGCCTCAAGCTTACCATGAAACTAGATGGTGCTGAGTGTTAATGAATGTCCGAACATATTTATTTATTAAATACTTATTAAGGACACGCAAGTAATAATAAATATATTTTCATATTGTCAATGTACAATAATATATACCATATCCCCTAAAAATTTAGTAGCACAACAACATCTGTATTACATACATTGAATATAAATTCGCAGCTAAACAAAACCGACATCGGTAAGAAAGAGGCATTTAAAATAATGATAAGATCGCCCGCCGCCACTGATCCCAAAATCAATATCGGGGATCAGGCAATTGTCCAGGGAAGAACAATTCGAGCTGATAATACCGATAGTATGGCAAAGCTAGAGTAAATAGATTACGTTCAATCGGAATACTGTATTAAAACGTTGCATAGTGGGGAATATGTCTGATTTATACTGTCAGTGGTCGTGGGTTCGAATTTTGAGCTAAACTAAACGATTTATGCACCAGTCTAAAAGAAGAGAGAAGTATTGTAAAAAGTGGATTATTGATTATTACGTTTTTGTGCTTATTATTAGAAAAGTACTAGTATTTAAATATTAGTTTCTAATTAGCATAATTCTGTCTTCTGAAGAAAAAAAGAACTTCGATCAATGTAATTCTAATTTAGTTCCTATTTTATAATTTTTCATAAGGCATTATTAACATAGCTTATTTAGCCTTTGCTCCATACATATATACTCCCTATGATAAAACTAGTATTTAAGTCTCTAAAATACTGTAAATTAATATATACTTAATTACCTATAGCAAGTATAAAGAAAATATAAAATCTGCAGAGAATCTAAGAACATCTCTCATGAAATCCAAAAGTCAGCAACCCCAAATAGATGTGTCCGTTTCGGAGATAAATATGTAATCTTAATATAATTGCGTCTCGTTCGATCCGCAAACATCCCTCGCCCTTATTGACTCTTTCGGTCGGATGCCTCGATCGCCTGCGACTGATCGCACGAAACATGGCAGTGACATCGAATCGCTCACTTCCTTTCCTCCACTGTAATTAAACAATGTCATGTAAAGAACAAGAAATAAAGATTTATTTTAACAATTAATTTCTCTGAAGACAGCTAAAATAGTTTTGAAATAAATGTTGAAATGTAAATAAAATTGTTATAATAGGTAATCAACCCTTTTAATGTCCCACTGCTGACCACTGGCAGGCTAATGCACTACGCTGGCCAAGTGCGGGTTAGCGGACTTGTCTTTCGAAAACTTGCTAGGTTTTTTCAGACATGCAGGTTTGTTGTAATACGTTTAAAGTCTTTCCATGTCTATCAAACAAATGATGGATGGTTTAGTATCGTTACTGGTAAAACAAAAAAAAATATGCATCATGCCTATATTATCCACTAAACAGTTTCGATCCGAATTAAACTATCAAATCGGTATAATTTTTACTTTAATTAGACATAAAGAGTTAAAATTAATAGAAAGTTAGCCTATACTTAATGTATAACTACGCGTCATTTTGTAATTTATAAAGAGGGTAATACTTATACAGAATACTGAAGATTAAATACAAAAAAATTGCCACAATAAATAACACAAGTTTGAAAAAAAGCTGCCATCATACGGAAGCATTAGTCGTAAAATCGCATTACTCTTCGTAAAACGGAAATCGACTCATAAAATATTTCGTTTCCGAATTAACTTGACCTATCGTTTGTTGTACAATGGATACTTTATTGTGCTTTAATGTATGGACTGGAGGGGTGGTGGTGTCAGCTTATGGTGGTCGTTGGACAGCAGACGGGCGATGTTCAATTGATATTAATAGCATTACAACACCTGGTCGCCGTTGACACTGCGACACGCGCGGGGCTTACATGAATATGTTTTTAATATAGACATTTATACATTAGGATTATCTCGATTCTATATGAAAACATGCAATATTTAACTTACGAAAATTAAAAAAAAATTGAGTTAGTACTATATTTTCTTTGCATTCATGTCTGAGGTGAGAAATTAATATATCTTATTATTAATATCTACACAATAGTTTTGTTTATAGACTTTTCTTGCTCTAACATTAAATATAGCAAAAAAGTCACAAATTTTAGTACAAAAATTGACTGAAATTCATATAGAAATAACACAAATTTGGTCCCATGTAAGCCTAGTGTTAGTGATTAAATTTATACTAACAATAATAGCGTGTTAACATCTCTATCAACACCTGATGCAATAGACGACTTTTATAGATTCAGAGGTTACTTTTTACTTCACATTGAAGTGTTGGCTATACACGTAGTTTTTTTTTCATTTTTGACTCATGCTTTCAGTGTTTATTATTTTAATAAGACAAGCGGATGAAAAGATATCTTTGTTTTTTTCTGAATTTCTGGATTTGCTGTTCTTTATTTATATGGCATACTCAATGCACAATAATTATTATAATATTTTACATTGCTTCTTAATTCTTAATTTTACTTATAAAATATATATTTAAACTACAAGACTCGATATTAAAAAATAAGCTATCAAAACATAATTGCAGCAAATTTTCATATTATTTAGATCATCGATGTCAGCACGCGTCAACAAAGGAAGACACGAATAAGTCACCCAACATTTTTCACTGGTTCCCCTTTAAATGATAGCCGTCATTTTTTAGGGAAAATCACGAAAAATACACAAAAAAACAATCGCAATCTCATTAAACTAAGCGTGGTGGCGCACGCGATCTCTGTCTTTTTGACAATTTTCATGTTACGAAATGAATATTAAACCAAGTTCACACTTTTGTTCAAAAATTATATGCAGTACATAAGTCCATAGAATATTATTGACAATAATATTCTTCTCAGATCAATTTCAGTTAAGACAACATAACCTTTATTGTCATTTATATATTGAAATATTTACGTATATAGTACCTACGAGTATACTTTCCAAAGAGACCCTCCTAGAGACACATATAGAGACAGCTTTACAAGTTCTCAAGGGCATGAAAATATTGCCAATTTTCAAACTCTGGGCGGGTACTTAGAAATTTTCTGATTAAAAACCGAACGTCTCTTTTGCTCTGCACTCGCGAAGAACAAACTCGATATCTATTTCTCAATACCTGCACTATTTTTAATTTAACTTATGGACTTTCACTATAGGTACAGTTTTATTAAATAAACAATAAAAAAATTAAACGATAAGATTTCAAATCTCATTTAGTATCGAAATTAGAGTATAGGATTTAAGCAAATATTTAAAGAAATATCAGTTAGAAAACTACTGTAAGCTTTTAACCAGTGTGCTCATAGCTTTCGAATAGTTTGATGTTTTTACAATGTGTTTATCGGCCGCTATTTTTTACGTTGATTGGCTAAGTTTTTTACTTTCATTGTGTTATGCGTGCTTCATACATTAGAACAAATACCCCTAATGATTATTAAAATTGTGTACTATGAAATAATTTATGGTATATATACGATTTTTTTTTATTTATACATATTAAAACTGCCTTAGTGGTGTAGGGGCTAGCATGTACGACTGCACACCCGGAGGTCCTGGGTTCGCGTCCCACGTCGGGCCAAGTTTAGTTATTGAGTCTTTCTGTATAGTAAGTCTCAGTAACAACCCGTAGTTGGGAAGTTGGCGGTGTTTCCCCCCCGCGCCTCGGAGAGCACATAAAGCCGTCGGTCCTGCGCCTTAACTCTCACTGGTCGTATCGAGCGTCGTCCCACCAGAGTATGAGAGTGACAGAAATAGAGAGTGCACTTGTGTCTGCGCGTACACTTGTGCACTATAATATCTCCTGCGCAGTTGGCTAGTCTCAATGAGATTGGCCGCCGTGGCCGGAATCGGTCAGGGGAACATCATTTATACCTATAAAGCTTCACTCTCTTACTCTCTCATGTGTAGTAGACGTAGAGTTTCGATATAGTCTAATTCGAGAACAACTAGCGCTCTTTAACCACTTCGTTTTCCTTTTAAATTGAACATTGCGGATGGCTTAGTCCTTTTCTTCCAAAAAACGAGAGTGACATTTATATGATGAATTTAACATTTCTGTTTTAGTATTTCTAGTATTTCTTCTAAGAATTATAGTGGGATGGAGGTAATATACGGTTTTTAATTTCCATAAATAACTTTTTTTATAAAGTTTCCCTTTCTTATCTCTTTGCGAGTAACTAACATTATATTAAAAAAAATGAAATAGACATTGCTTATCTGTAACATCTCTATATTAAAAAGTGCTTACACCAATTTCTAAGTTTGATTTAAAAATAACAGTTTGACGTTTGCTAATCAAACATTTAAATCAAATTAAGAATTATGTATAGAATTGAACAAAATAAAATAGTCCACCCAAAATTAAATACTCAACTACCTCTTAAGCCCACACAGTGGTATGGTCACCATTATTAAGTTAATCTATTATTTCGACACAATAGACTTAACAGCAGGACAGTCCTTTATGTGTTTACGTTCAAACTACTTGAATTTAAAGCAAATATTGATAGATACTTTACGATAATGTGGTTTTTAATTTTTATTATTTTCAATTTATTCAATGAATCATGTTTGTTGATGTTGTGAAATTAATACTGTAAATAATATTAGTCCGAGCGCGTTATTTATTGCTATAATAATTTGCATTTACTTTCTTTCTACATTGATTAATTTCACATATTATTGGTGTAGGAATTTTTAAATTTCTAGAAAAACGAAAACATAATTACGTAAAAACTTGTGAAACAGACCTATCATAGACTTATCAGGAATTGCGTATCTATGGTCAAATGGCGCTATATTTCAATCCACCCTCGACCAGAGACAAAGGCGTCAATCGGAAACCCATTTAAGTGACAGGTTCATACGGTTATAGTGTTGGGACACGTTATAGTGTTGGGCCACCTTGCGCTCTATGGGCGTGCAAGCAGTCGCTTCCTCTTCTAATGCTTTTATATTTATTTGTTCGGTACACATCTGCTTCACATATGTCAGGCTTAAATCAGTGTTAATGTTTAAGTACGTCCACTTTACGATTAAATTAATAACCTTGCGATTGTTTGGTACCAGAAATACAAAACTATTTGGCATAGAATGCTAGTAGATTAAACTATAGAAAAATTAATTAAGTATTAATTTTGTATTAATCAATGCTGTTAAGCTACAATTTTTTACTTAACATCGTCTTGTTATTTATCGTGTTACTATTTGTCATATTAAGAAGTACGTATGAAGGAAAAAAGTTCCCTCGATATTGTTCATATATAACCATTTTTATAATAATAAATATAAAACATAAATATTATATAAATATTTTTCTAAAAACGACACTAATTATAAAATTGAAATATTTTCTTAAATATGTACTTAA